AAAGAAAATGACAAACATAATAGGTTTTCCATGATTTTTTTGCATATAGAAAATCTGAATATTGTGCAAAGGAACAGTACTATGCAACTCTAAACATGACAATTATAAAAAAAATGAAGAGGGCTTTAAATGACCGTGCCACATTTATTTTTTAATCCGCTCCATCAGGAATGTCAACAAGAAGATCCTGTAATTTGGCCATGAAAAAGGAAAACTCCAAACTGTATCCATGCAGTGTCTCTCTGCTGGAGGGCAACAGGCTAAAAGTGAGCTAAATGGCATGATAGGCTTAAACTGAGGGGCAGCTGAAGTAGGTGACGACTCAGTACTGGCATTGAGTCTCATGACACAGGCAGATCACCTGGATTACACATGACAAAGATATGCAGGATCCACGTTAACTGCATACTGAATCACACCACAGCCACGATCAATAAATCCAGATCTGTTAAGAGGCTGCAGCTACCCAAACACAAGAGCTGCTTGTACAGCTGTTGATCTTTCATACATTTACTCTTTTTAGATTACCAAATAATACTTAAAATTATAAAGCAACAATGCAAGACTGCAACAACGTCGAAATTAATTGTGATTTTTCACCCATTTTATTCCTTCAATGTGGCGCATTTGGGCTTAATTTTCTATCAGGAACAGGTAGATTTGTTTTTTTAATTAAAGATTCCAATTTTTCTATGAATAGTTCACAATAAGACCATAAATGTGGGTCCATTAGAGTCTATTTTGATTCCACATTGACTTTTGAATCCTTGTTTTGTAGTAACAGATAAAACCATGCTGATGGTTGGCAGAGGCCACAAGACTCTGACAGCCACAGAATGTCAACGAACACAAGCAGACAGAGCTTGATTGTGCTGGAGCTCAGAATTACACAACTGTTTCAAAAATGCAATCAACATACACTGTCATTTTTGCAAACACTTTGATGGCAGATCTTTGGCATTGCCTGACCTCACAGCTGAAGAATAGAAGTTACATTTACAAAGCAAACATTCCCAAAACATAAAACAATAGCTTTTGCTTCTAAAAAGAATCTCTGTTACAACATGTACCCTATTCATTTCCTTAAGCGTGCTCTCTAACAGTGCTAATTAAAAGGTAATTTATAAGGCTTTCACATTTGTCCACTAAACAAACAATACTGATTGAGTAAAAATAAAAAGTTAATGGTCCAGAAGACCTGCAAGTTTGATGAAAAGCTCCATTTGAGAGAAGCAGGAGACGTCTGATGTATTCAAAAGCACCGATGCATTAACAAACAACATGAAAACAAATGCATGGCAATTTGAAGAAGTCAAAGCGAACTAGCTCTCAAAAACTTATACTGTACCAACATCGCTTAATTCTCATGCATGTCATGGTCTAAGATCATAATTAAGCCTATTTGCCAGAGGTCAGCGAGTTCATTCTTACAGTAACAACGGCTGGTCGTTGGCTGTGCATAGAGTTAGGTACGTAATATTGGCGCTTAAAGTCCTGTCAACCGTTATCCTCTGGCATGGTCAGCCTTTAGGCATAAACAAACAAACGCACATGGGGATCACACAAAGCGCCAACCATTAAAAAAAAAAGACAGTGAGAGAAAAAAAACATCCGCGCGCTTATCAACTAAGCCGCACGAGAGCTCTCTATTTGCGTTTCAAGCTCGCGCAACACATTCATAACGATATTTGTACACTTGACTATCAAACCATCGGGGAAAAAAAACATTAAAATGTGACATTTTTTTAATGAAAGACGTGTTATTTATTATGCAGGGTTGTTCACGGCAGACGCGGAAGAAAGATGCGTGTGGTTAAATCCCCACCACCACACAATGCCGTCCTGTCTTCCGCAATGGGCTAAAACCATTTAACGCTTATTCAGTAATAAACACACTTGTTAGATTCCTAAAAACTCGTTCGCCGAGGTTGAGTGAGATTATCTACAGCTTTGTGTCGTTAGCACGGTTTTGACAAGAGGGCGTAGCGTGATAGGGGGATTGTTTTCGTTTTTTCCGTCGAGGCCTAAACAGCGCGCTACCGCGGGCCCTGGTGAGGCAGCGCAACGGCCCGCGCTACGCTGTCACAAGGCTTTTTTTTTTTGGCACTTACCGGGTCCGAGCGCTTCCATGGCCGAGGGCTCTCTCTCCGTCTCTGTCCCGGCCTGGCGGCTCCGTGCCGACACTGAAATTGGGGGCGGTATCTCGAAGCTTAAGGTGGCTAATTTAAGAAATGGAAGGATGCGTAGATGTGCAGCGCTCTGCCTGCCTGGTCTTCTGAGTGATTTAAAGCAGATCCATGGGATTTGTAAGTGCGCATGCGCGGGGACGCGAAATTCGGTTGGTGGACTCGCACATTGACAGACACAAGGAAAATGATAAAGGTTTGGGCGGTGAAGTAGTACACGGATTCAAAGGCTCACCAACCTGCGCGTTGTGTTACGTAATTTGATTTTAGGAAGGGATCATAGCACTGAAATTAATGCAGTTCAGTTGACAATCTAAATCCAGGCTGCGCGCCCACTAATTTCAGCTGTAAGTGACGTTTGACACGTGTGTTGATTAATAGCAAATTAACTGTGTGACCAACACTCAAAACGTTGTGGATGTTTTCCTTTTTCTTTCTCTTTACATGATATCTTAATAGTTTACATTAAGCATACTGAAAGTTGTTGTAGATTATATATTTTATTTGAAAGTTTTTGTAGATGATATATTTTATTATAGAAATATCCTGCCCCCAAATGGCAACTTGCCTTATTTGCTGGAACTCTGTTCAAGGTTGCCAGGTTTTCACAACAAAACAAACCAATTGCTACTCAAAACTAGCCCAATGGCGTTCCGGGGGGTAAAATACACATTTTTGGTAGGGTTCCCCTGGTAAAATTCGCATCCCAGGGGCTAAATATCACGTTATTGGTGTCGCTTCTCAACCCGCGACATGAAAAACGACCCGCGGCACCAGTGTTAAAGTAGCATTTGGCAACACCGACTCTGTTTTTGACCATTTACAGTCAGCATTGACCAATCCGACGCGTTATTGGTGTTTCAGCTCTGACCGTCCTGTCCAATCAGCACCAGCCCCAAAGCGCCTAACAACCGTTCATCCAATAGCGATGGCTCGAAAAGAATGACGGAGTCAGTTAAAGAAAAGCGCTGGAGCCCAGCGCGCGAAGGATGAAGGTCTATTAGTTTAGCAGCGCTATCGGGCGGGAGATGGGTGTATACATTTTGACATTGTAAAAGTAACATTTACATTTTGATTATATGACATTTTGGATAAAAAGACTGCGTTTTCTACGTTTACACGCCTTTGGAGTGACCGCAGCGTGCGATTGATGTAGTTTTGTACCGTATAAAACGACCTAAAGATGAGCTCTCTTCTGTCTGAGCGGGTAACGTATCAGAGCAAAATAACAATAAATGACTTCCGAAATGACTGCATTTGGTGAACAAATACTAGTTGATAACTAATTCACCCAACAGGGGATAAATATTTTGAATGAATTCATCAGGTAATTTGTGTTTAGCTAACCAGCTTAGCTACTCATCCTGTCTTTTGTAACGTAAGGCCGGAGGAATTGTGCACACTTTATTTGCCTTTTTATCTTAATTGTTGCCAAGTGTCGAATTACTTTTTATTATATTCTATGTAGTGTTTACAGCAAAAAAGAAAATAAAAATAAATACAGTGTAGGTTGCATTCTAGTCGAAGTGTAAGTTAGTGCTTGAACATTGTCCTGTGTTTCCAAAAGCGCGCGATTCATCAAATGAAACTGGGTTTATTTAGCAATGGAAATCTTTCAAAGTAGTATTAACATAAATAGCAAATGTAATATTTTATAGCCTGTAGATCTGGCAGAGGCAAGAACAGCTGAAAGTGATTCAGATAGTGGAATGGGCTCACCACTGGAGGAGCCTGTGATTGACACCAACATGGTCTCTGACGACCAGCAAGGTAAGTAAGCGAAGATCTTTTTTTTTTTTTTAAGTAGAGAATTTGATGCATCCTAACTGCAACAAGGATGATGAATAAGTTCTCTGTTACATTTGTTGATGAATAAGCAAAACGAATGCTTTTGACACTAATGATCACTGAACACCTAAAATATATTGTGGGATCACAGATTTTTATTCAACCATTGTGTTCCAGATTCAGATGAAGATATCACTGTGAGTCGGAAGGGACGCTCTCGGAAAGCGCTGCAGGACAGTGACAGTGACGGGGAGCAGGAAGAGGCCGGAATGGCAAATGCTCTGGTCCTGTCAGAGTCCAGCGACGAGGAGACAAAGACTAACGAGACCGAAAGCATCAAAAAGAAGCGAAGGAAACGAGTATCCCGTATCTCAATGCACAGTGATGACAGTGAGCCAGAGAAAGCAGAAGTCCAAGTCAAACCAAAAGAAGCAAAGAAAAAGAGGGAGAAGTCACAAAGACGCAAAGAAAAAGAGAAATGCAACTTTGCCCTTGTAAAACGACTGAAAGAAAAAACAGAGGTGTGTGCTTAGAACATTTAACCGCTAACCATTTCACAATTATTTGTTTTAATTAGGGATGCATCGAAATGAAAACTGAATGAAATGAATTTTTTTTTTAAATGCCGGTAGCCGAAATGACTTTTTTTCTTTGTAAGGAGGTCCTTCCAATCAAAGCACTCAATGACAGCGGCTGTTTGCTTGGGAACTCCGATCTATTTGATGCCCAGTTAGAGGAAGACTCTGAACAGCAATTGGAAAGTGAAGAGGAAGAGTCTCTAGATGCTATACGATCAGCTATGAAAAAGAAGGCCAAACACAAAGTAAGCACAGACTTTTGCTTCCACTGTCTCGTGTATGTCTCCACTTGATTTGAATCCGTTACTGATAGTTACTTTTTCATATTATCTATAGCCTCGTCTATCAGACTTCAGTGGAGATGAGGAACAAGAGAACAGGTCACCACGCAAGGTGAGATTATTTATTATAGTGATAGTCACATCAGGGCTCGCAAAATCGCTAGCCCGACGTCCCGGGACTATTGGGATATATCAGCCGATATTCTTTGTGTATATTATAGGACAGTACCAGTCAAAAGTTTGGACACTTTCCCATTCGTGTGTCCAAACATTTGACTGGTACTATGTATAGAATGCAGTATATACATAAACACATTTTTTGCAATGATCACTCAAATGTGGTGATCAAACACTTATAATGGTGACAGAGATATGTAAGGGCATTTAACAATTTGACAATAAACTTGCGATGAGTGCGATGCAATGTAACTGCGTTACAATGTGCTATTCTATGACATTAGCGATGTAATTTACACTATTTACTTTAATTAATTTTAATGAGAAACAACGAGAAACAGGTGAATAAAGACTGACAGTCAATGTTTAATGTTTAGAAATTATTATTTCAAGACATCTAAAGCATTTTTGCTCGTTTATGTGGGCCATCCCCAGGCATGGTTGCAATGTGTTCATTGTCAAACTCCAAAATCAGATTATTTTTAATTCTTAAAAAACATCATTATTTAATTTGAAAAAAATTTTTTTTATGTATATATATATATATATATATATATATATATATATATATATACACA